TTTCAAAGATTCTTTATTAAATAATGCCATTGTGACCTCCTATTTTACCTCCTGATCAGACACTTATTTCGGGTCTCCCAGAGCAAAACATGAACTTTGCCTTTATAACCATCTGGGAGGTGGGAGGTATCATTTAGTGAGTTGCTCACAGTACCTCTAGTTTTAATGACAATTGCTTGAGAGTAACAATGTGAGTGGGTCTGTTTTAATATAACCCATGTATGTTATATGCGACGGAATCTCATATGATATCTTTTAAAGTTAAACCTTAACATGGGTTATATGCAACAAAATCTCGTAAAATTAACCGTTAAATATTTATGTCCAAGAGAAGGTCTCTTTTTCTCGTCAACAACATCTGCATTTTTACTGGACCCTGGATCAAGGTCATTTGAAGAAACTTCCGTTTTGCCATAGCTTAAAATTGTTTCTATTTATAATTATCACAAAACGATAATTCACAAATGCATCATTTACAAATTCAAATATTTTTACATATTTTTTTTTATAAGAAATAATACAAAGAAAGGCGTTTGTGCATTTCTAAGGATAAAAATCTGTAGAAGCATTACAAAAACAGGTACATGTACACTGTATACAGGAGACAATTTTCCAAAACTAAAAAAAAGTGTCCTTTGCAAAATTTTAGAATTTCTGCAATTCAAATTTGTATATTATTACAATGCAAAAATTGCCACACATAAAAACAATATTCTGACTTTTTTTTAGAGGACATAAGTAATACACTTGATAATTCTTTATCTGAGTTACATCCCTTTGACTATTATACGTGTATAGAATAAAGGATACATGAATCTTCTCCTGCCGCTAAACACAGGTATAGGTTGTTGGTTTTTCTTCCTACAAGTTTGTTGATAATAAAGGGCACGACATCTGACTGAATGATTGGTGATTCTCGGATTTTTCTGGACACAATTCGTTTTATACAGTCAGCAAATTACCAGATTTGGTACAAAAACTAACCATACATTCATGCACTGAAATTAAGGTTTGTAAGGTTTCAATCCAAGATATTTTTGACAATTTTCTTTCGAACATTGTGTTCCATTGCCGTATGCTTTTAAAAAATTGCAAACAAAAAACTATGATGTATTAAAAACAAGTACTTCCTTCCATAGCAACCTCACTGGACAAACACATTTTTCACACCAGGACCGGTAAAAAATCAAGTTAACTTGTACATCTTCAAACGTTGTCTACGAATGTTTACTTTGCAGATTAATTTATACATGTATTTAAGGAAGCAATGGATCACTCAACAAGAGAATGCCAGAACATAGGTTTGATATTGTTCAGTCTTGTGTTCCACCACACTAGTATTTCATGTTGAAGTCTACATCCTGCATTTCCTTCAGATATTCACAAACTGCATGTTGCGTCCAAACTTTTTCAATTATACACAAATCCTTCAGTGTATAGATGTTGAAAATTTAAAACAAAATACTCTCTTAAGTGTTCTTGCTCTTGTTCTTTCAACAGTCGCGCTGGACTAACAAAAATAGATCGAAATGTAGAGCTTTAGGGCATCATCGTAAAAGAGAGGCCTATCTTTCAACTGGCGACAGAACTTCATTTCCATTATTCCAAATTTTGAGCAAATTATGAAAAGGAAGATCTGAACACTTTGTCATAAGAATGCTGTGAGTGTTTTACGAAATTTAAAGACAAATTGCGAATTTTTGATGTCACAGACAACTACTTCTCCAATAAATATAGAAATGGTCTTTTCGCATCTTGTTATTGGTCATCAGCAAAAGTACTCCGTTAAAACCACTTTGATTGTACACACAATTTGAGTACTCTGAAGTTGATATTAAAAGGTTGCTGGAGTTTCTCCTTAACATTACTTATGTAGTCTTAGAATACCAGGTTTTCCAACAAACTGTTGAAAATCATATGGACACTAATCGTGCTCCTTTATTAGCTGACCTGTTTCATTTAAGGAATAACTGTCTAATTTTTAGATTTCATGTTGTGATAAATCGAGTGGCTTGCGTGATAATTTGCATAAAACGCCGAAGGCGTTTATGCATAAAATTATCACGCAAGCCAATCGATTGATCATCGTCATAAAATCGAAAAATCTGACAGTTGTTCCTTATATTGACATGCTCTTGGTTGGACGCTAATCCACGTGCTACAAGCCCCGCTTCTATGTCAATCGCTTCACGTCCCGCCCTCACGTGATTTTTTTTATACCTAACAAAAAATAATATAGTTAACTATATATAGTTTACTACAAATAACTATAGTAAATCAAAGTGTCAAAGTTTTTGATAAAGTTTTTCAAAGTGTCAAAGTTTTCGATAAAAAAAGTTTTTCAAAGTGTCAAAGTTTTCGATAAAGTTTTTCAAAGTGTCAAAGTTTTCGATAAAGTTTTTCAAAGTGTCAAAGTTTTTGATAAAGTTTTTCAAAGTGTCAAAGTTTTCGATAAAGTTTTTCAAAGTGTCAAAGTTTTCGATAAAGTTTTTCAAAGTGTCAAAGTTTTTGATAAAGTTTTTCAAAGTGTCAAAGTTTTCGATAAAGTTTTTCAAAGTGTCAAAGTTTTTGATAAAGTTTTTCAAAGTGTCAAAGTTTTCGATAAAGTTTTTCAAAGTGTCAAAGTTTTCGATAAAGTTTTTGAAAGTGTCAAAGTTTTCGATAAAGTTTTTCAAAGTGTCAAAGTTTTCGATAACATTTTTCAAAGTGTCAAAGTTTTCTATTATAAACTTTTTCAAAACTTGATCCATAGGCCTTTAGAGTCCATTTTTCGACAAACATACTTGGGTGCAAAATTTTTCCTACATCTCGGGTATGAATTACAGGAACTTGTTTCGGTTTTGAAATGCATGATAATAACGAACAGTATTCAAGCTCAAAAGAGCAGAAAACAATACAAAATAGAAGCGTATCAAACTAGGACCTCCAAAACATGAGAAGTAGCACCAGGTGCCATGGAGAAGTGAGCATCCCCTGCTGACCAGTCACACCCGCCATGTGCTCCTTGTCATGATCGGGAAATATCAGGAAAATCCTTCGACAATTTAGTGTTTATATAATGACTTAACAATAAGTATGAAAAACGTCAGTCAGCAATTATTGACCTAATGATAAATTATATTTGATGACAAGGTCATTGTATCGACCATACGACTTACGAAATGATGACTTTTATACGAGACAGCTGATATTCTTCTTTTAGCAACTTGTTTGTCAAAAATTAACCTCGTTTTAATATTCGTTCATAAGTAGAGCATGTTCTTGCGTATCGAATCAACTGAGAGATATTAAAGTCATCTCGTTTGTCATAAAGCTTGGTTATTTGATTACCATTAACGTCTTTCTCAAGTAGAATATCTAAATATAAACAGATGTACCAGACACTTTGGTATCTTTTATTTCAAGCTCACTGGGATATATTGTATCGACATAAGAATGGAAATAACTATTGTTAATTAACGATACGTCGTCGATATATCTAACTGTCGAGTTGAAGGACAAAGCAAGTGTTTTTTCTTTTCTTTTCACGTGTAAGATTGTGGCCAAATTCTGTTTATATAAAGACAAAAATAGGTCTGCTAATAACGGGTTGCAATTAGAACCAATGGGAATTCTAAAAGATTGTTGGAAGGTGTGGTCTCCAAAAACCACGTATAGATATTAGGGCTGGGTATTGAAAGAAATTTTTCGATACGATACATATTGCAATACAGAGGTGCGATATGCGATACATATTGCCGATACAGACAAATGAGAAAACACTACTTTTTGCATGTTTTTTTTTTAAAAGAGGTGATAGTATTTTTTGATTACAGCATAAATTTACAAAAATAAAACATTTAAATCATTTAAATCCTTGTTTTTTTTATGCTTTGAATGGACAAATGTATGAAAGATTAATGTTATTTGCCCATATTTTTCTTCAGAAAAATCAAGGCATCGATCCACTTAGTCAGGATTCAGACAAGCCCTTGTGCATGTAAATATGTTGCCTATGGTGCTAAATACTCGGACTCGTTCTGAAGCCACAAACGACATTCACATTGACCCGTTTGTCTGTGTTGATACTTCACTTGACGTCGTATTCGTGGAAGTAATGGCAGATAAAATATTTTACCAAATTGCTTTGAGTTAAAATAAACTATGACTTAAAAAATTCTGATTGATATCTTATTATGGGATTACATTCCATGACTTTTTTTCGACGCGCCATTTTACCAACCGGAATTGCCTCCAAGTTTCACAGTAGCAAACAGGTCAATGTTGCGATGCCGTCTGAGATGGGTAATAATATATATCGTTGTTCCAACAGAACTTGCGACTTCTTGTTGACAAATATAATTACATTTTGCCTTTTTGCTGCTAACTTTTACGTAGCGATCCTTCACTTTATCGATATATACTCAAGCATTTTTTATATCAACTTCAGAGTACTTGTGTATACATTCAGAATGATTTTTAACAAAATAATTTCGCAAATGACCAATGGCAAGGTAATTTAATAAATGTATGCGAGTTCCATTTTTATTGAAAAAGCAGCTGTCAATGATATCAAAAAGCCTGGACTAATACTGTAATTTATCGTGGGGAATGGTTGTGTATATAGTTGAAAAGTCATAATTTTAAATGCTAATTTTTGTACAATTAATAAATTTCAACCTACAGTATAATAATAAAACAAGGTATCTAACTCCACGGCAACAATTGTAGTAAACAGTTCGCCCATGCATTTCCTGTTATAGTGTTAATGGGAGAGTTTCTGAGGAGGATCAAATCCGTGTAATTCGGATACCTTGTGTTATTATTATTGTACGGGTTAAAATTTTATTATCGAAACAAGTGTCTGTGATATGAACAGTTTTATTCAAGCAATCTGATGATCTATTTTCTGTCCCATTCTTGACATTATTTGGGGTAACGTTTATGCTGTCAATGCCTAAAGCATCATTTTCTGGAAAATATTAATTAAGGGAATTAATGTCCGAAATATAACAAATTGCTACTTTAGCGAGCATGTTTTATTTTGATATACAAAACATACACATGTACATCAAACGTCAGCAAATATAGCAAAGTACATACATTCAAGCAAATACCCACACATTGTACGGCAAAAAGATATCGAATCTGGAATATGTACAAATATTGAAATTGAAAAACACAATAGATAAAAGATAAAACTTTAACTGGATAATTTCTATAAAAATCTAATTATAATTAGCACTATTGCTCTTTGTTGAATACAATACAACTTTTGTTTTCAATGATTTAAATGCATAAAAGTGCTCTCATTGTTTAAAGAAAGCTTACATTCATATAAAATATCTTTCGGGATGCAAATGAAAATGTATTTAAAATGTCGGACAGTATAAAAGAAATATCTCTAGAATACCTGTATATAAGTATACCTGTATATAAGTATACCTGTATATAAAAGTTTGATAAAATTGCTATTTAATTTTTTACTTATACGAATAAAAAATACTTTGCTAAATTACTTGGATTACCAGTTACCGGTATTATGATCCAGTTCTCTCTGTATTATTCTTCCGATATAAAAAAAAATTGTCTTATTTATTAATCACGATTATGACTGCTATATTATTTGAGCAAACTATACATAAAACATAAGTCTAAACAGAATCTCAACGGAAAAAATACACGGTTTAAAACAAAAAAAGAAGAAGAAAATCTCTCTCCAATATTTAAAAAATATACACATTGCATACCCAGAAAAAACATACAAAATGCTCAGTTTGATTACGTTATAATGAACACATGAAAAATAAATCAAGATACATGCATGTATGCAAATCATTCTAACTACCTTGCAGATAATTTGTGAAGGAAAAACAATTTCCTATTCCAAGGCGAAAGATTGCTTTATTGCTAAGAGATTCATATTAATGTATACTAGCTTTAGTATTTTAGACATGTTCTATTCTGTAAGAAACACAAAGATCCGACCTTTTGACTAAAGTCTTTGGGCTTGATTAAGCATACGCAATTCAAACTCTCCCTTAATAAACTTGTATAATCTCTTCTTTTCGAGACTTTTCGACAAGGTTAGAAAAACAACGAGAATGTCTCAATCGGCAATCTTCGACTGATACGCACCCTACTTCTTTTCATTTAGGTTTTGGTTACAACGTTCTGTTAATATAATTTTTCAAAGCAGAAACTTGTTAAATGTTCGTCGCTTCAGACAGTAGTTCACAATTCAAAGGGAAAATATTGGGAGGACTCACAAAATCGTATTAATAAAATGATTAAATATCTTTCCTGTGCGATTGCGAATTTATATAATAAAGTCACCGGATGTTGAAATTTAATAAAAAATGAAATTTCTTTCTTTTAGTTTTTCAATAAATACAGTTGATTGTCCCCTCTGAAGTATATTCTAAGTGATGTTGTATTGATCTAGACTAGCTCTTCAGATGAGAGGCCGTCCTACATTTTAATTACAGTTTGTGAAAAAGGTTGTGTCATAGATGCCTTCGTAAAACATTCGGGGCTGTTTTTCCGCTTGTTGAATAGCCCGAGACGTTTCGATTATACTCGAGTAAAGAATGATTACATATGATCAGATATGTGATGAATGTGCAGTTAAACTCAATTCTTAAATTGTAGAAATGGAAGGGGAATAGGGCTACTGAAGAAAAACTCCCAGAGATCTACAAAATACGAGCACCGTACTTTGAGAAATGGAATGGCGAGAATTTGTTGATTAAAAAGCTAAAATATAAATTAATTGTAAAACACTTCATAACAAAAGCACACCTTACCAAACACAACAGTTTATACGTGTACATAGAGGCTGCCATAAAAAATACATGATAAAGAGGGGGGAAAGAAACTCTTTTTTTATGATCTTAAGGTCATACGCAATGTAGTTAGAACTTCATTGGATTCTTCCCTGGAGTTGAAGAGTTCCATTAAATGAAGGACCTGTGTGCAGTATTTTTATTGTCTATATGTGGATTTGTACAACTCTTCTAAAACAATTTTTGATGAAAAAAAATCTGTAATTTATGTTTTGTAATTTTTGTACATTTTTCTTTGAATAATGCAAATTTTTTCACAATTTGATACCTTTTCAAAACCCCTGGTAACGCATGCTGATTTTCTGTCTAGAAACATGTAATGGTATCATAAGTTTAAATTTAGAATATCTTGAAAAATTATCAGTAGGTAAGGTACCTTGCGTATGTCCTTAAATCTACAGACAGGGCCCAAATGGCATTTTTTCTTAAAATAATTTTAATTGCAATTCTTTTAACAAATTGCGTTTATGTAACATTTTGGTGCATTCGTGCAGTATAAAGGTAATATGAACTAAGTACGTACCAATGTGGTGTATCAAAATGGATTTTAATCGTAATCTGACAAACTTCATTTTCATAAAATGTTTGACTGTAATGAGAGTTATCTCCCGTTGCCCATGTAAAGTTCAATTAAACATCAGGGAAGACTTTCATTTTTAAACAAGAAACCTATCGCACAACAAGACGCAGAGGTAGTTCTGATGGAAGTCGTGTTCAATAGAAAAAACGGAGCTTTATTCAGGCTCAATTGCTTACATGCTGAGAGGCGCCACGATCGCCCTGCTCATTATAGCACATGTACTATGATGTATATATTTGGAATGACAGCTAGGAGTCTTGGATCTCATTGACAACTGAGTAAAATACATTTTAATTTCCTGAACCTTTCCTCTAGCATGGTGAATTGTGTCATGATTGAAATAATTAATTTGATAAACACTACATTCTCAATATTCAAACTAACAGAGAGACTAAAATGGTTGTTAAGGCTACTATTGATGTCAAGGAGTTTGCTAATCTACCGGCTCCGTTTCCACCATCTTTCACCTGAGGCTTGACAGCTGAAAAAAGGAAAGAATACGATTTATAAAAAAAAATGTGGTCAAAACTGTTTATCAAATGATAATCTTGATTTACATGTACTTGATTACTTTTTGAAATGGAATCGACTACATGTACATATTTTTTACCATTAATTAATGATGGAACAACATTCTTTAACATAAGACTGTCAAACTCACGATGAATTTCAGTTGATTTATCTGACATTTTTAATTAAGTATAAATAGTGTCATTAGGCCACTCACAGTAAAGGACTCCCTTCTCCGTCGTTGGTTTGGGTGTTACTGGTGAAGTTTCCGGTTCCGGACTCGGCGTGGTAGGGGCCTCTGTGACTTTTGTTGTAGGCTCGTTATACCGGATGCATTCATTTCCGAAAAAAGGACAAACTTCGTCAAAATAATCAGGCACTGGTTGACCTGAAAAAATAAATTCGAACAAAGGGATAATGAATGACTTATGAGAAGTAGATATTAACCTTAGTACGCACGGGTAGAAGAGAATTAAATGAATCAGTTGGGGAAGTAAAAATAGAATCATGGGAGTGGGGTATTCAAGAGGTAAAATGACCATAGTTTGTACCCAAATAAATGAATAAATGATGCTGCAATATTTTCAATAATGGTGCCGTTTAAAGGCGATATTAAATAAAAATTTTCTACCAAAGGAATCTACAAGGAATTTTTATCATTGTTCAATCCATTGCACCTTGAATTTTACATTGAAGTCTATGAGCAGAGCACAGGCACCTGACGTTATTTAGGACCATTTCCAGTTTAGTTTGGACTTTCAGTAAGGAGTGGCATTCTCGATGTTTCCTACCGGTAATTAGCTTCTGAAATTTACATAGCTTTGAGCTTTGCTTCACTGTTGAAATATACATAGGATAGAAATTCGGCCGAATGTCAACTGGTGTAGTAAATAGCCAATTAAAAGTTCTCTCACGGCACAGAGGTGGGGCATAAGTCGTCTCATCGTTGTCAACAACAATTTAAAGTTCCTGATGTTATTAATTTCTTAACCAGTGAGAATCTACTAGTATTCGCCATTACGTTGCGCCGAGAATGCCATCCTCACTGAAAGTGCGAGCTAACCTGAGTACTGTAATATTTTTCTTTTAAGAAAAAAATATAGGGCCTACCCCCTACATTATTAGGTAGGGGGTATAATTTCAAAGACAAAAATAATTTCTTCTTTTCATAAAAGGCAGATAACTCTTGCAAAATGACCAGTTTGTTGAATGTTGGAAGATTTGTGAATATGGATAATTTCACTTTCATCGTTATCCAGACATACATATTCAACTAGTTTAAATGATTCAAATGTTCAATATCGCTAAATTACATGTATACATTGAAAACCTAAACGTGTTAAAACAAAAAAAAAATACAGTAAAAGTCAATTACTAATGCGAAAGGATTTGTTGTTTTCTTTTGTTTTTCAATTTACATAGGAAGTTGTAAAACAGAATATAATCATACAGACACACCCTGATATATTAGTTGGAAAAGCATCTGAAAATATTATTTATTATAGTCATGTTGATATTTTTACACCAGTCATGCATGGCTCCCGTAGTATGATCTCAAATTACAAACAAAATTGTACAATCACCTTCTGCTAGCCTTGGACTCTCCTCTCCACAGATAGTAAGTTCGTCCAAATAAGAGATGGGATCATTCAAATACATATTTACGAGGTCGCCATTTTGTTTTTTCTCTAAATATATAATAGTATATTCATCCACTGGATTAAAGCTCGTGTTGTGACACATCCCTGAAGAGTCTTCAAATGTACCTAAAAAGTCAAAAAAATTAAAAATTAGTGAAATTCTTATTAAATGTATTAACATTATTAACATTAATTCTAAAACTGAAAGAAGAGTTGTGTTTTTGAAAGAAATGGGACGTTTATTTTTAGTAACCAAATAACCATTACCATGATTACGACACCGTTTGTAGAAACCCAAAAAAAAAAAAACGATGAGATTGTGTATCTATATGTAATCTATATGTGTATCAGGTGTTTTTGAAACTGTAGAGGACAAATTTTGAAAGAATGTCAACGTAATTCCTCTAACTAGTTACCATGGCAACACGTTTGTCGAATTTTATACTAACCAACAAA